TTAAAATAGGTTAATAATACCTTCATGTAGAACCACTGCAGCAATACATCTATTCATCCTGTTCTTGAAACAAGACCGAAGGAAAAGCTGTCATAGCACTTTCCAACAACCTTAGGCTATCTAGTCCCACTTAAAAACCCTGGGTCTTTAAGTGGGACTTAAAGACCCACTTTAAGTCCCACTTAAAGTGGGTTTGGGCATGATTTTGGATTCCCTGGTTTTGTATTTTTAATTATTCTTGGTGTCATGTTTGTGCATTCTGGGCTGTTGGCATTCTGGCAGAGGAAAATCCAAATAAAACCTATTAGTCAGTAAGATGAATAGCTCTCCTAAGGGGACAGCTGCCAGTTGCTGGTGTTGATCTTATTTTTGGAAACAATTTGGCTGGGAGAAAGGTGTTTCCTGCCACGCCTGAGTCACTGAAAATTCTCCTTCTGATATATGCGTTCATGCCCCCTCTGGGCTCAGTGAGTCCTCTGTTTTTCCATCATGTGCAGCTACTCTTGCCCAGGCTCGGCAGCTTCAAGATGTGGTGGATATTTCACACACATTGTTGAAGGAGCCTGATACTCCTGTTAGCCCTTCTCCTGTTAGCCCTTCTCCTGTTAGCCCTTCTCCTGTTAGCCCTTCTCCGGAAATTAAGAAACAAAATAATTGTTTCATTTTATCTAATAGCAGCTTAATAAATTTCAGCAATCTGATAATACTTTGTCTCCCTGCCTGTCTGTGTCTTACCTTTTTGACCCTTGTGTTTTGCTGTATAAGTGGTTTTCAGTGACTGGAATGGAATATGATGTGGTCACTCAGGTTGTGATGCCAAAAGACCGTCTACAAGTTTAAAGCCTTGCCTGTAGTCACCATCTGTCTGGCCACTTAGGAATTAGGAAAACTTGTAACAGGGTGCTCTGCTATTTTTTTCTGGCCAGGATTGAAAACTGATGTTGCTATTGTCGGTCATCATCACGAACTCACCATAATGTGTGCTGCCACATGTGGTCATCCCGCTGCACTTGTTCAGGGCGAAAGCGGTGGTAAAAGTACTGGTTACATGTTTCTCCACATTTGTCTTGTCAAACGCATTAAAACTGACCAGGGATCAAATTTCATGTCTAGGGTTTTTGCTCAAGTCATCCCAGAGGCGGCTATTAAGGATAAGGTGTCGAGTGTCTATCACCCATGAAGCCGGGGTACGCTGGAGAGATTCCAAAAGATTTTGAAATCCATGCTGCAGATATTTTGGGCTGAGTCTAATTCAGGGTGGGATGAGAGTCTGTCGTTGTTGTCGTTTTGCCATTCATGGAACCACACAAGAGTCCCTGGGATTATGTAAATTCATTTAGGGAGAGGTTACATACCATTTGTGAGCTTGCACATAGTTCCCTCTCTAATGCCCAGTTTAAAGTGAATGAAAAATATGACAAGAAAACTCTCAGTCACTACTTTTAGCCTGGAGAACATGTTCTAGTTCTCCTGCCTGTTGTTAGTTCTAGTCTTCAAGCTTGTTTCTCTGGTCCACATGAAGTTGCATCACTGAGCACCAACATGTCAATATGTTGAGGAAATATGTTGACCATGAAAAGCAATCCCAATTGTCTGGCAGATTGGAAGATTGGAAAAATTTTTAAGATCTCGAGGCTCATTTGTCCTACTTAGAAGACCCAGTCAAGCAAAATATTTGCAGTCTGATTTGTAGGTACACCTTGCTTTTTAATGACAAGCCCACTCAAAACAGTTCTTGAGGACGATATAGATGTTGGTGAAGACAAGCCCATTAAGCAGCATGCCTACCATGACAATTAGGAAAGAGATGGAATACCTCTTGGAAAGTGTCTTGATGCATTCTCAATCATCCAGGTAAGTAAATACCAAAAGGTTGAATCTGTTCATTTGGATGTAGTGTTTTCAGAAACGTTTCATCATCATCCACGTGACTTCCTCAGTCTCAGCTGACTGCAGGTTTCCCCCACAACAGTACAATTTTACAATGACTGAAATCCCACTGAAAAAGCAATGGGTTGTGAGGTCATTTCCTTCATCATTAATATATTTAATTTATACATATTAATTTATCCATATTGTCATGACCATTGATCAACAACCACTGATCAAAGACCATTGATCATTGATCCAAGAGCATTGATCAATGGCCATGAGTCCCATTCACAGAGACTTGGGAATGGCTGCAATCACAGCATTGTAAGATGGTGAAAGATGTACCCTTAGACCCCCTCCTCGATTCAGAGGGCGATCAATGGTCATGACAATTTGCTTATTAATGATCAAGGAAGAGACCTCTCAACCCATTGTTCTTTCTTTCTTTCTCTCTCTCTTTCTCTCAACCATTCAGGGCAGGAGGGAACTGAGGAGGATTGGGGCCAAGATGGCATCAGCTCAAGGGTCGTCAGGTCCTGCACAGACCAACTGTGTGTGGTGATCGAGCACCTCTTCAACCTGGGCCTGAGGCTGGGGAGAGGTCTGGAAAACCTCTTGTGTGGTACCAGTGCCTAAGACTTCAGGGAACAGTTCTGGCTCCATTCCTCTTCACTATCTACACTGCAGACTTCTCCCACAACTCCACCCAGTGCTTCCTGCAGAAGTTCTCTGATGACTCTGCAATAGTCGGCCTCATCACTGATGAAAACTGACCTATGGCCTTGTGGACTGGTGTCAGCAGAACTACCTCCAGATCAACACTAGAAAAACCAAGGAACAGGTGGTAGACTTCCACAGGCACAAACATCCTCCACTGCAACCAGTGAACATCCAAGGCATAGACACTGAGGCTGTGGACAGCTACAGGTACCTTGGTGTTGATCTCACCTAAACTTACAAATTATCATACCATTTTTAAACAAAACAAAGAGACAATTATAATTTTATCATCACTCATTCTTACAGACAAATCTCGTTCAAAGCAACAATATTTTAAGGTCCATATCAGGTTAAAACTTTAATATTTCGGCATTACATTCAGCCATCTTGGATGGACTTCCTCTATTTTTCTTTTTCCAAAGCACTTAAAACAATATTACACATCAGTCACTAGAGGGAGCTCTAGTGCAGTGTGCAAAACTGTGTAATCCAGCGTAACTTATAAAAGGCAGAACATGGTACATTGTTAAAAAAAGAATGCACCGGCCAGCTCAGCAACACCAAAAGACCACGATGACCACACAACATGACCTACTCAGTCAAGAAAAATTCTTTGGGTAGGGGAACTCAAGATTAACTTGTAAGAGAAAAGTATAGAGATGGAAAAGAACACCCATGATCTGAAGTATATCACAGCATTATTGCATGGGCATGTATGTTACTAGGTGGAACTGTTTCAGTAATGTTTCTTGATGATGTGACTGCTGATAGAAGTAGCAGAATGAGTTGTGAAGTGTACAGGCTCGTACTTTCTTCTCAGTTTCAGTCATATTCATATTGCAAAAACAGCTCAAGAGTTTCTTAAAGCAAAGAAAGTCATTCACCTGATCATAATTCAAACGAGCATGAAGATAAATTACAGGAAACACAGTATCGTGTGATATTTGTAGGTGGTCATTTAAGGTGGTCATTGGTGGGGCGATCGTGGCTTAAGAGTTGGGAGTTCGCCTTGTAATCGGAAGGTTGCCGGTTCGAGCCCCGGCTTGGATAGTCTCGGTCGTTGTGTCCTTGGGCAAGACACTTCACCCGTTGCCTACTGGTGGTGGTCAGCTACTACAATGTAGCTGCCATCACCAGTGTGTGGATGACTGGCTGTGTAAAGCGCTATGGGGTCCTTAGGGACTAGTAAAAGTGCTATACAAATACAGACCATTGACTCTAAAGGCGTTTTATCCAGATCTAAAAAACAATCCATATTTAAAAGCTTTACTTTGAACATTTGATTTTGAAATATGTGACATGTATTGAAATGGCGACACATCTAAACAATTTGTGCAAAACTTGTGTTAAATCCTTTGATTTAAATCACAAGTCCACATTGTTGATGTAAAAGAGCCAAATGATAAAAGTCTTTCCGAGTGGTGACTTTGCCTGTGTTGCTATTAGCACAGCAGAAATGAAATCCAAACTGAATTTTCATTTGACTTATCTGTGTTTCCCCCTTTGTTCTTTTTTCCTGTTTTCATTAATGTCATGTGTATTGAATTCACTTGTTTCATACACTCTCTCCCTCCCTGGTGTGTAATTAGGCTGTTTTCCTTCCCTCGTTCTCTTTAATTTTCTCATCTTGTCTCTTTCTGGCTCCCTGATCATCTTCGTCTCTCCAGTAGTTTCTTTCTTCTTCTAATGACCTACTTAGTTGCTTCGTGCTTTTCCTGGCATCATTGTCCAGCTTCTGAAGAAGCGTCATCATCCCTTCAGTATACTTTTGCAGAATTGATGATGCATGCAATTGAGTTATTCCCTATAATTTTCTTATAACGGTATTATTGTTGTAATTTGTTGTCATTATCTGTCTTGATGCATGCTCAGTCATCCAGGTAAGTAAGTCATTTTGGGATTGACACTGTTATTATTGTCATTGTTGGTCGTAGTTATTGATTGGGATTATTGGTGGTGATGTTTGGTGTTGCTTTAACTATAATTATTATTATTGTCATAATTCTCTCCTAATTTGCATTAAACCTGGACTGAATAAAATTAACACCCTCACGTTCACTGCACACACTCACAGTCCTGCTGGTATTATTTTTCTTACCAACTCTGTCTTGTCTGTAAGTTTTCTAATCTATCCCTGCTCTGTTCTTTATGTGATATACTTCATAATAATAATATTAAAAAGAAAAAGCCTTTTTTCTCTGCTTTATAAGACAATTGTCTTATATTCCCCTCGAAGAGTGCTAATGTACTTTATAGCTAGTGATATAAAGCATCACAAAGAATCACGTTAAATGATTTTTCTTGACTACAAAACTGATCCACTTATAATTTGTGTGTCGTTTGCGTGAAAGTGTTCAGAAGTCTTTCTGTGTAAAGTGGAGCATATCGAGTGTTTTTTCTTTCCTTACCTGCCCTGGTTGATTGCTGCAGGGTCACTCCCTGAGCAAATATCTTCCATTATGTATGGGTTCTGTTCACAGCTGACGTTTAGGGTGGTGTAATTGGGTTTACACACAGTTAGGAAATATGGTGTTGGGTATCCAGTCATCAGTTGGAGGACGTCTGTGATGAGGGCCGTGGCACAAAGACCGAACGCGTGAACTCCTGAGGATAGATGGTGAGATATATGCTTACCAAGAGGAAAAAGAGTTAGAATATCAGATTTTACAATGTTTAATTTAAATTGTAGGGTATTATTTATAGTACCCTACAATTTATAGTATAGTCTGACGCTGTATTTATGTGGCCATATTTATTAAGTGAAGCAAATAGTGTGACACTGCAATGTGGCTGATGTGCTAATTTATAAAGTGGATGCATTTGGATCATTTCCCATGTAGTAATGACCAGCTTTCCCAAAAATGGTTTAAAAACAAAGTTTGTGTTTGTTACTTTTGGGTATTGCTGGTGATGCTGGAATTATATGATTTTGGTTTAGCACTGTGGATGAATGCATCGTCTTTAGAGACTGAATCAGTTTTAATATCCAATGCTAATAAAGCAAAACCAAAACGAAAAGCATGAATCCATTGAGATGATAGTAATTTTACTGTTAGCAGATGAAACGCACACATAGAGGTGGCTGTGGCTCAGAGAGGGTAGAGCAGGTCTGCTAATCAGAGGTTTGATGGTTTGATTCCTTGCTGCTCCAAGTACCCTTGGGCACCTCCCAATGTATCGAGAGTGTGCGTAAAATAATTATAAAGCACTTGATGGCATAGAATAAAAAACGGCATGTATATGAATAAATTGGGGAGTCTTGTAAAATTCCCATTTTGAGCTCCCATAAGGAGAAAAGTGTCACCACAAAGGTACTCGAATTCTTAACTGGCTACCATGGACTGCCTTTATGTGACATGAGTAAGTGTGCAGTTTAAAAAAATCAACCTACCAACAAATCGGACGGCTCTGCGTATGAAGGAATTGAAGTTGCAGCCAGCTGCGTTGATGTTAGCCTCACCGCCACCGCCGAGCTTTCTCCGAGACAGACAGCAAAACAGGATGGCCTCTCCGATCATTATCTGTCAACACAACAACTCACCTGTTACGTCTGCTCACAGATGAGGAGACACTCAGAAAATCCTGACTATAAATCTCTGCCAAGGTGGTTCTGACATCATCAGCCAGTTTGAGAACATGAACAGGAACTGGCTGCTTTATGTGAGCAATGTGCCACAGCTTGTTCTTTGGATTCCACTCAAAGCTCTCGGATAAACCCAGCCACGTAGCTAACGCACAAATGCACTCTGCATGGGATTACACATCTTTGCAGAACCAGAGGGATGGAAAAAATAAATATTTAGAGATTATTTAGTTTAGTTTAGTTAGTTATACTTATTGTGCCAATATTTATGTAAAAAAAGCATGTTGTATTTTTTTCACTCGATATGACAGCAGTTATTATAGAGGTTTAAGAGCTCAGGAAAGTGATCTGTGTGCCTGTGTCAGTTTGTTTGAAAGATGTGATAAAAACACAAACATTACCACACCATCTAATTGTAAATTTGCTAATCAATGCATTGTGCCAAGCGTGAAGTTTGGTGGAGGGGGATTATCAAGTGGGGTTGTTGTTTAGTTTCACTTAGTTCCAGTGAAATGAACCAAGAACAATTTAGGGATGGCCCCTTCCTTTTCCAACATGACTACAAACTGTTGCACAATTGCACATCATCCATAAAGACATGCATGATGTGGAAGAACTTGAATCCTGACCTCAACCCAATAAAACATCATTCAACTGAATTAAAGCGGCGACTGTAAGCCTTCAACATCACTGTTTGAATTCACCGATCCAGTTCTAGACGAATAGTCGAAAATTCCCATAAGCACACTCATGCTTGTGTGAAGTCTTCCCAGGAAAGTTGAGGCTGTTATAGTTGCAAAGGGGTGAACTGACATCAGATTAAACCCTGTGGATTAAGAATGGGATGTCACTTACATTCATATGTGTGTGAAGGCAGACGAGCAAATACTTTTGACTAAATGGTGAGAGTAAATAAGGATTTTTGAGAGCTGAGTGGACAGGACAGACTGTGGTACACTATTAGTCTGTGAAGGTTCTCAGTCATTCAGGTCATCGTAGTCAAAGGAGCTTGTAAAGAAAAGCGTCTGGACTTCTTTAAGTTGCTTGAAGACGTTTCACCTTCATCCGAAAAGCTTCTTCAGTTCTAAGGTCAAATGGTGGAGAGTCCCAGATATAAACTTAGTGGGAGTTTCCCCCCACAGAGGGACAAAAGGACCCCCTGATGATCCTCTAATCACCTGAGCCAAGGTGTGAAACTGGGTGTGGGTCCCAATCAGCCAGAGTTTCAGGTGAGCTCATCCTCTCTGTCCAAAACAGAGAGGACAGATGGTTTGAAAGAGGAGTGAAAGAAGCATCTATGTCCACTGTGAGCGACCATCTTTGAACAGAGGCGGTGGTTTACGACACCAACTGTCTGCCATCTATAATCCAGTTTTGAGTTCCCTCCCCAGACGTCTTAACGCCCACTCACATCCTGGGCCATCTGACCTCAGGAATTCGCATGATAAGGTGGGGCCAGGTTTCACAATGAACTCACCCGAAACTCTGGCTGATTGGGACCCACACCCAGTTTCCTTTGGGTACACTATTAGCTTTCCCACATTTTCTTTTTTCACAAATCAGTTTGCAAACTCTAAAATTGTAAACTCTTTGCTGACACACACACAGACACTTACATAGACCCCCAAACTTTGCTCAAAGTTTGCTTGAACATGTTATTTTGGAAACCAGTTTTTATCTTTTGAAAGCATAATGTTCAGGTGAAGTCCAGAGACCTAAAGAATTCATGCCAACATATGAAGCACACGGGAGCCCAATTTATGAATTTAACAAACAGGGGCATCAGTATCGTGTGAATAAATCATACACAGGTAACTAGGTTTGTTGTCTGGGTCGACTTGGCAGAGTGGAGAGAGATGGTGAACAGTATCAGAAAGTTTGCACCACAGAACGGCCCACTTTATGGTCTATCTTTGACATCCCCTGTTATATGGAACTCGACCTAGAGATGGGACTAGGGTTCACTTCAAATAATGCTGCAACCTGGTTTTACAGAACACCAGCTGGACCTATCCATATCAATCAAAAACAGCATGCTTGGAGCCGGGTGCTGTAGCAGGGTCCATGCTGACAGGTGGTGCTAATCATGGAGTTACATCCTGGAGTACGAGAAGCTCAAAACAAGAGTCAGTAGCAGTATAAGTTGTTTGTGGTTAGCAGAGGAGATTTGGCATTTTCTTTGATGGTTGCATGTCACATTATGAATACTGCTGCTCAACCCTCAAATGCTTTTTCCTTACAAGTGTGGTAACATTTACATAAATGGATCAGGAAATATTTTTGTCACAGGAATCTCATATCAAATGATCTCTGTATGTCTGGAGTACTGAACCTGGACCTGGTGTAATTAGTGGAAGCAAGTCGGATGGCCAAAGACTGTGATTACGCCAAATTCCAAAATCTTAATATAACCATAATCTTCACTGCAGGAAATTCTGTAGATATTAAAAGTTCTTTCTCCCCCTTTGAGCTGCAACATTATGATAAGATTTTCAAAAATGCAGAACTGCCCTTTACACAAAGATGCTGCTTCTATGGGCATATGCAAAGTTGTTTTTGGCAGAGAGAACAAAGAGATGAAAAGTGTTTTCCCTAAAGCTTAGAGTCATAAACCGAGACAGAAGCATGCAATACAGGTGTCTCACCAGCATTAGGAAAAACTCAGCTCTCTGTGCACATCTCACATGGCTGTTGTCAGGCATGTCAGTCGGAGACAGACTTTCCCGTCACTGTGCCTTTTGCAACTGCTGAGCATTCAAGTGCCTTGGATGTCCCTTCCTATTAGAGCTGCTGCCGACCCCTTAAGCTTTAAAGATAAAATGAGTTCAATTCTAGTTTTTTACTTTGACTTAATTCATGTTTCTCAATGTGTGACCAGAATCTCCAGAAGTCTGGGAAGAAGCAAAAACTGCAACTGCTGCAGTGGAGTTTTAAAAGCCATCTGCTGGGTCTGCATGCATTTCCTTAACATTTAGTACAGTAATGACAGAATGTTGAGTTTGAGGCTCACTTTTTTTATTTGTAGAACTTTAACAAAAGATGAAGGTTGTGGGGAAAATCTGATATAAACAAACTTGTTTCCAAAACGTCTCAAGTGTTCTCGTTGACTAACAGCTGCAGTTAGTGAGCTGATGTAAATGACTGAGGACATAGAAAAAACCTTCAATTGGAACACATCATTTCAGGTAAGAGAACTTTTGTAAAAAAAAAAAAATCTGAAGATTGCAATACATGCAATAAAAATGCGAGAAATAAAATTCCAGCCAGGAAATAAAGCTTGCAGAAAGTTTAAAGTAACTTCACACGTTCATTGTCAGCAGTGTAAACTTGTGTAGAAACTGCTAGGAGAAGCAAGACCTGCAATCAAGCATTTGCCCTAAGTGGCGAAGAGTCTTTCACATGACTGTGGAGGTATTTTGATCCAGTTTCTTTACAGAATTGTTGATTCAGCCAGATTGGAGGTTTTTCTGCCATAAAAACTTTTTCTATCACAGAAACTTTGACACCTCTCCGTGAATTGCTACCTTATCGTGGTGGATGAGAGGGTTTGCTCCCTGCGCCTTAGGGGCGGAGAATGGGTCCTGACTGTCATCAGCGCTTGTGCACCAAGTGGCAGTTC